GAAAGAAGTATTTGTCCATAAAATCAGCTGTTTCAATCAGAGGGGTTTATAAGACACTTGAAAATTCGGGTTAGAATTGGTATTCAGCAATCCACTCTTGTCTTAAGAGACGTCGAAAGGGATCGGGCGGTCAGTCTCGCTGACTTTGTTGATGATGTGATGGCATCCCAATTGTTCATGCTCGATGCTTGATGCTCATGGTGTCAATCACTCGACTGTCTGGTCCAGACTGTATTATTTACAGATCGCCGTCATATAGCTGGAATAGTGCTGAGTGCGTCGTTAAACAACAATCAAACAGAGATGGTTATTGTGATTTGAAACCTCTGATTCGACCATCCTCTCCCGGTCCCCGACCACAGTTCTTCATCACCAGACCCCAACATTTCTCGACAGCTAATCATCACATTATCATTATTTTAATTATGTAAAATAGTTATATTGTTATTGAAATGAGTTAATACAAATAAAAGTTGGGTGACACTTATATCAAACTAAGTATCTACTGCTTTTGATAATATAGAAAAGAATGTTAAAATAAAAAATGGGAAACTATTCAATTCATGCATGCACAGTTGAACAAAAGTTGAGGTGGTGTTATTATCATCGTTGCGTTGAAACCGCATTTTACCCCTTGGAGTTCCGGGTTATATTTTGGTTATTTTCTCCCGCCCGCGATGAATTTTCGTTCCGACTTGCAAAAGTAAAAGGTTTTCTTATCTCAATTTTCCCCGCCGCAGTGGAAATTAAGGCCCCGATGTGATAAAAGAAAATACTCCTACAATTGCAGAACAAAATACCCAGGTGAGCTTGATCTTTTCAAGCTATGTTTATTATAAATACGCTTCATAAAAATAAGTTACACAATTAGTGAAAAACGGTTGGTTTTTTTAATTTATTATTTTATTTTTTTTAATTTCGCCCGCCCGCTCGCTTGCTGGTTGAGATTGGAGATGAGAACACATACAACAATTATGGATATCCTAACAAGTGATCGTAAGATACAACTAAAAGGGGTGGGATGGTTATGCTGTGTGACTGGTCTGAGTGAGTGTCATCGTGACCCGCTGGCTTGAGGTCCTCAGCAACCCGTGCTTGTTGTAAGAGGCGACTATGCTTGTCGTAAGAGGTGACTTACGGCATCAGGTGGTCAGACTCGCTGACTCGGTTGATGCATGTCATCGTATCCCAATTGCGTTGATCAATGCTCATGATGTCAATCACTGGCTTGTCTGGTCAAGATTCGATCATTTACAGGACGCTGTGACTACTGACTTCAGCGATAAGCATCGTGTACTGCATTATATCTCACAACAACACTCACTCATAAGAGAGACACCGTAACCTTACGGAACTGTTATCTAAATATAGATTTGTTTGAGGAATACATCTGATGCATTTCGACGCCTCCGTGGTCTAGTGGTAGTGCGTCCGTCCGATGTTCGATCCTCGCCCGCGACATACCAAAAGACATTGAAAGGTGATACTTGTTGTTACTCTGCCTGGCACTCGACATTAATGGGATAAAACAAGGCCTGGTCGGCTCGGGGTCAGTATACTGTGTCTGAGAGGGGTATTCATATTAAACTGCAGTGGTATCTCCGTGGGCTAGCACCATAAAATCGGCATTAGTCGCAGCCACACACGCGCGCGCGCGCGCACGCACGCACGCATGCACACACGCACGCACGCACGCACGCACGCACGCACGCACGCACGCACGCACACACACACACACACACACGTGTATGCACGTCGCTATTGAAGTGCAATAATCTTGAAGGCGACGTTAAGCCCCATTTTACCTCACCTTGATTACCTCATGGCCCAAGCCAGCGTGTATTGGTTAAGCTTCGGTGGGGTTTTGTTTTCTTTGACTGGAGCTTGGGTCTAGATTGGTAATCTTATATAAGAAGTCATGTTTTCACTTTGTCGTGAGTTCAAGGTTGGGATCAATAAGGAGTGGTCCCTTCTGAAACTGAACACCATCTGGCGCATCGAGCTTTCCAATCAAGGTCCAATTTTAACAAAAGGTAAACAATATATAGACAACAGTGGCGTCAGGTCTCACCGCCCTCGTTGTCCGTTGTCCGTTGGTGTCCCGCATTTCTGCGTCCCTCGCAGCTTGAACCTCGACAGCACAGGTATGTGAGGGGGGCAATGTCAGGGACCACTTTGCCATGTGGGGTGCTTCTGGCAGAGGGAGGCACGCCTACCTACCACACCACTTCCTTGTACGTATGGCAATGTCTCTAAGGGCGGGTAGCGACCAGGTGCGGCAAGAGAGGTTTTTGTTTCCTTTTTCGCTTCCTTCACCCCATGGACCCCCTTAAACCACAGGTAGGTTAATATTCTATTTCAAATTTCAATGTTGATTATGTTTATTCCAGGTTCAACTTTATGAAAGAGGTTTTTACGAAGCCCAATTTAGACATGTCGTGATGTTTTTCTCTTTGAAAATTCATGATGAAGACATGTTGGAACTAGACACATGTGTAATGTGCCGCATGTTTTAGCATTGTTACTACATCGCATTCATTAAACCTGATAGAACGTCGTATGAATATCTTGAAATTTTAAATGTGCATCTTGAATTTTCAAGAAAAAAGAAACTGATATGGACATAATGGGCTTCCGTAGGTTTTTGTTAAATGATTGAAAATTCTTTTATTATAGACAACATTTTTTTGAAGTACGGAACTCGGATGTGTTTGACCTTATCGTGGTGTAGGAGTCCAGTCGAGGAGGAGGAATGACTTCCGCCCGTATTCTCCCTCAAAAAGTTAATATACATATATCCATTGCCGCTCAATCCTTTTTGCTGGATATATATTTGAGGTTGCCGCTCAATCCTTTTTGCTAGATATATATTTGAGGGGGTATTGGTGGAAGTCTTACCAGTGTTCCGATTATGTGAATGGTGTTTTAAGTTACTTTTTGTCTCATTAGTGTTATTGTTAAAATAGCTGGATGTATGACCATGACGGCCATCATCTACACTGTGTATGTAATAAAGCATAACACTTTTTGCACATAATCCGTGAAAAGCATATCAGTTGTAACATGTTTAAATACCCTATACAATAAGGTGTGGTGAAATATGGTTTAACGTCGCGTCCAAGATTATTGCACTTCTATAGCTACGTGTATGTCGAGTTGCTTGTTCTAGTCTGGACTGACGCCGATTTTATAGTGCTAGACACCATGCCCCAGTTTAACATGAATACCCCACTTAGACACAGTATACCGAGTCAGAGCCAACCAGGTCTTGCCGAGCGCCACGCAGGGTAACAATAAGTACCATATTTTAACGTCTTTTGGTATGACGCGGCCAGGGGATCGAACCCCGGAGCTACCGCTTTCCGGGCGGATACTCTACCATTAGACCACGGAGGCTGTCCTATACAGTTAAGTAATGAACGTACGTAGACACTCGTACAATTATTCACATTGTCGCGTGTAAGGCTATTTCATTTGACAGTCATACTTTACTTCTGTGTAGCATTTGGTGATTTAATCTGTTCTGTTTAATTATTTAAAGATTCGATTCTTCTCACTGGTACAGACCCGTGAAGATCAGGGATAGAATAGGTCTACAGCAACCCATGCCCGCCATAAAAGACGACTATGCTTGTGGTAGGAGTGGTGGTCAGGCTCGCTGACTTGGTTGATGCATGATATTGATCCCAATTGCGTGGATCGATGCTCATGATGTCTATCACTGGATTGTCTAGTCCAGACCGTCGTCATACAGCTGGAATATTGCTGAGTGTGGCGTTAAACAACAAACAAACAAACAAATCTCATTGGTACAATGTGTTAGTCCCCAAGTCCCTCCAATAAAGACCCCAAAAAACACAACCTATTTCCACTCACCACTCACTCACAATCTGTATTTCAACATTGTTCATATCTTTGTTATTTAATACATTTATGTGATCAATTTCTTATATCAATCAATCTTTATTACTCAATACTCGGAAGGCCATAGGCCTATAGTACATGTATACAAATTAGCTTGGGGTACACTTATACAATAGAATATACATCAATAACCATGGTAACTGTTAATAACATCAAGTCGTTGAGTAAGTGCACGCTTTCTAAGATTTGTGGTATTGAAAATGTCTTCATTAGTAAGTTAAATTTATACAAATGAGGATCCTTGAAAAAAGAACCATTAATGAATTGGTTTCTAATGTCAGCATAAAATCTTTGAATGACATTTGGAGGTGATACACATAAGGAAGAAAATTAAATTATCTCCCATAAGTAAAAAGTGATATTCATCCTCTATATAATTAAATGTACACAGTTGACAGATTCTGTCTTCTTTCAGTTTCGTATATATAGTATACAAGGTGTTATATGTCACTCTAAGGTGAAGACACTTCTCTACTCAGAAACTAAACACACCTTTAACCTTCTTCGACAAACTAGACTTGAACAAGATGTGAGTGCAAGCAGCGAGGCACAACATACCGAGGCACTAGAGGTTGCAAGACGTCTTTTCACAGATAGTTATTTAGCATGAACACAAAGACTGTGCCACATATAACTGTATTCTACGCAATGTGGCACTTTGTCATACCTATTTGTGTATGGTGTAATTATCATATTAAACAAGGTCCACAAAGTTGGGGATAGACAATTTCTTTCTTTTTCAACAGTTTGAAGCATAATTATTTTTTTCAAGAATTTTTGTTACAATTTCTTTTTTTAGATAAAATCCAAAACTATTCCAACTTCACATAAACCTATCAAACTGAAGTTTTCAAAATCTCTCATCAAGATGGCTACGATTCTTAATTTTTCAAAATGGCTGCTACAATTGACAATAAAAGTCCCCACAGCAGAGGATGAACAACCATGACTCTCAAACTACTGGGTTTAAAAATGGAAGTGTGAGGATGGGTGATTTCAAGAACATTCCAGATACACTACACTGATATCATATAGCTTTGTTGCATATCACACATAAAAAAACACAGATGACAAGAATATTTTGATCAATTTTATTCTTGAGATAAAACTCACAAGTTGATAAAGATGTCTGCATAATGAGCCGAGCATGACATTAACAGTTTCCATCAGATACATGTAGCATGAATGCATACACAGGGACATCCTTGCAGTGTGCATCAACAGGCAGCACTCAATACAATACTCACTGCAAGAAGTGTTATGAAATGTTTATTTTCATAATCATACTGAAGTAAAGAATCCGACCTCTATTAACCTATCATGACTCGTTTTGTTGACTGACTACATGCTAAATGAAAGATCAACTAAAATATATATAGCATAATAAATACATTTGTTGATATGCCCACGACATAGTCTGTATGATTGCTCATCTCAGGTCAAACTTTTGGAAGCAAAAAAAAATAATTTGACTTAATATCATCCCGTCTGGTATATAAGTACATATATATCAACTAAGGGTGATGTAGTGATTGACAGATGTAGATAGTCGTCACTCACCTATCAGTTGTATATTTCGAATGTTTGTCTGTATAGATTAGACATGTGACACTGACAGGGATCACTTCTTGGATTCCATCTACATGGGTGGGTGAGAGTTTGATTGGGTATCGGAGTAACATCAGGGGGGTGGGATAGGGAAATAAGAAAGGGGGAGAAGAGAGAAAGGAGAGGTATGGTGTTTTAATGCCATGGACATTTTGATTGATCAAATTGTCTGCAGGCCCTATCAACTGTTCTTGAAGACTTCATTGACAGATGGCTGATATTGTCCCTTCTTAAATAGAAACAGGGATTAATTTGTAAAATGTATTTGTAAACTAAATGTTTGATCTGTACACTTATGTTTTATCTACCATTTTGATAAAACACAGTGTGTTTTGTTACATTGAACTGGTAATGTTGTGGCAATGACGGATCAGAATAACATCATGGTCAGCAACGCGTGTCAGGATTTCATCACATGGAAACTCTGTTCCTCTCCACAGTATAATAAATAAAACATATATACAATGATATTTATACAAAATAAACACAAATCTTATTACAACATGAATTCATGAGAAGTAGAGGGAAATATCAACAGGTTTACCAGATAATATCATGTTACCATGGCTACCATCAACACCAATGATAGTTGTTCAAAATCCTGGTTAAAAGACAAACCATAATCTGAGACATAAAAAAAAAACCTCTTAGAATTTATTTTGCTTGAAAATTCACTTGTATTAATACCAACAAATGTTTCAATAATAAACAATTAACATGTCAAGATGCCTCAAATTGATAAAATCCAAAATACCAGGACAACAGTTATGGGAGCAAGCTACACAGATTCATGTGAGCAAGATAAGTAAAAAAAGTAACATAGTTTTTAAGTTTAATATCAAACGTAAATTGAATGTTAGCCGGAAAAAAAATTGTTCTCAATACAAATATAATTGTGTTTAACAAGTATCAATGAGTTGAAATATCAATTATTACATATTTAACTTCGACAACAACCCTTATTACATGTTTTATGTTGCGTTGGCTGTCATGAACAAGCCTAACACCACTGTGATGTACTAGACAATCACACTGTCACTTTCTACTTTCATGACCCCAGTCAAAGATACGGACATCAAAGGGGCATAACTCTGATAACTACATGTATAGAACACTATTTACAACAGTTTAATTAATTCCAATACTTGAACCAAACATTTGGCTTTTTTCAAAGTAATGACCAGTTCATGATTAAACATGTTTTTAAGGGTGTTAAAACATATATTTGAGAGGAGAGCCAAACTGGGATTAAATGAAGCAAATTTACACTTACCTTTTTCCAGGTCATATTTCCCCACTAGGTTAATATTACTTCATAAAATATATTAAATATGTTAATATTGATATGACCTGAAACTTCAGTTCTGAAAAGTGATAAATTGTTACTAATTCACAGTGGAAAGGATATAGATTCAATGCAGAAGTCACCAGAAAATTATTTTTCAGACTAAAGATCCAGGCTTTGGAGGCTGTATGACTAGCACATCAAACACAACATGAAGACTGACATTGCTAGAACCTGTAGGGTCGGACTACAAGAGGCTTAAGGTACACACAAGAAACTGTTGATGAAAGCAAATCAATGATGTAAAGGTGAACTGTACAATTGATCATGTTGATACTGTGAACAAAAAAGAGGTATGCGGTACATGTGTATTATAGATCTCAAAATAAATTTATACATATGAACACACACATCTCATACTGACCCCAAGCAAAGTTGTTTTGTCTTGTTATGCAAGATCTATAGGGTAGGCGCAAATCTTCCAAGAAAAGTAAAACAAGAAAGTGATTCCAACTATGCTTATTGTAGACGATCTTGGTATAGCAGAAAATCTGTATGAGAAACTGGTATCTCTCTGTATTGTCTGATAAGCATGGAATAAGGAGCGCTGAACTAACCAAAGGGATGTTTAGACACAGATGCTAATACCAAGATATGTTCATTGTGTTTGAGACTGTACTTGAAGCACCCAACATATATACACCAACTTGGTCATCCCATCACAACAACAAATAACAGGTTGTGTGGTGACATCAACACATCGTCACAGTTATCACCAACAGTTTGGGCAAATGTAACTGTGATCAAAGGAACATATGGACAATGGAAAAACTACTCATTATTATAAGTATATGGATTTTACTTACAAAACAAACCACTTCTCAAGACAGACCGGGACAGCTTGATGCATATTGAAGACCAACCTCAAGCATTTTTCTCTTCCAAAAATGCTGTACATCTATTATGGGGAATGAAAATATGGAGATATTTCAGTTTGCATAAAAGAACTGAACTGCAGGCAGAGTTTGAAATAATTTAAAAACCCAACAAGACATTCAGGCAGGTGACCCAAAATTGTTGCCACTGTACATTTCGGACTCTAAGCATCTCTTCCATTTTGTGTTTGCTCAGAGTCAACCTTAAAATAATGAACATTTACATAAAAAATTCAACTAAAACTAATGAAATAATAATTAAATTCACATGCCAAGACCTTCATTTCTTTGTTTATTAAAAATACATTGAACTTAACATGAGAAAGTTGAGCAATGTCGAACCACAACATCATGTGGCTTTATCCTTTAAAAACAAAGGTCGAAAACAGCTGTTATGTGACAAGGGGGAAATCTCCATCAATTAAGAGATAACCTGCAAAACTTGCAAACAGGTTCAAAACAAAATATGCTGGAGTTACGAAATATTTCTTTGTTCTTCAAATGAACCCAGCAGCTGATTCAGTAGTTTACAATACATAAACTGATCCACTTTGATGATAAGTAGTCCTTCTTTTACCGGTAACAGTGTATTCAAGGGGTACATTTACTTGCAAAATCTTTATTAGAAAAAGACGCCAAGTGTAAAGGAACTTTTCAGTTGTCCTATATCCTTATTTACTATATATCAGAATAGTTTGCTGATAACTTTCATTTTAATGACATGAAGGAAAATACCGATAACAAACAATTATTTTCTTGTGACACCTAATAGACTTTCCCCATTTTTTATTTGACACTTAAATACATTTGTTTTCCATTTGTCATTTGACACTTACAGTTTTAGTCCATTTTCATTTGACACTAAATAGATTTTTCCCTGTTTTCATTTGCTACAATGTATATTTAATGTGATGAACAAGCTTGTCAAAGTATTTATGCCTACGGGACTTGGGCATCAGAGAATAGTAAGTTTTCCCCTGGTACACACATTCAGACATGGGTGAAAACCATTTCTGGCAGCAACCGTTAGACAAGACAAAGCATGATTCAGCAGCATTAGATGGAAGGTTGCTGGAGACAAAAATGATTTTCAAAATATCAATGTCCCTCAGTTTTGAAATTAACGTGACAGAAATTGCCATGTACATGCATCAGTGTCACAGCTGGTGGAATGTGTTTTATCTACAGGTGAGAGTATATGTACATGATAAATACAGATATTGCACATGAAACAGGCATCACTACCTAAATGACTCACGGCTCACAAGATAACAAACCATTTCATACTCAAGTCACTCCATATCAGAAAAGCTTAAAGTAGCTACAAAAGTTGCCCCCTGCCCTCATCTCCATCATGCAATCACACGGTGGATCATATCTTGAAAGGACTATCTGGCCCTGATAGCTGATTAGCTAACTTCCTAAAATACCTCTTCCTGCACTAATAAACATACATGCAAACTAGCATTTTACTTCTACTTTTCAAGAATCATTCTCGACTTTTCAAAAGACAAAGCTGCCAAAAGTGCTTCAGCTCACCTTGGAAATGAAAAACTGGGCAACATGTGTCCCCTCCCCAGATATATATTTATTACCTGACCTCAGCTAAATGGTCCCTTGACCTCAGATATCCAATACCTGACCCATCAGGTAAAAGGTTAATTGCCCTGTAAGTACTGCCAGCCCTCTGAAGATCTACACCAGGTAATTCACAAGTGACTGACTGTGAATCACTGTTTCAGCCAAATAACACAGCCTTTCAACACTGCAGCCTCACAGTGTAGACTCAAACAGTTTGCCCCACTGCAAAAAATTAACTCACAAACTCAACTCAACTGGCCTTTTGACAAGATTTTACCCATTACCCATGTGATTATAGTTACAAAGTCAACTAGCCCCACACCAAGTATCTTAACTATCAAAACAAATTTGTTATAGGAATGTTTACACTATGTTTCACCATCACCTGTGAATCCACGCAGGGTAATGGCTTCTGTTCTTAATATCCTGTTGAAATGAGGCTATCTTTTGAGTCAAATGACCCGTATTATCATGGGACTTGAAGCAATGTGGAGAACAGATACAGCAAGGCTATGGCACACTTTGCTCATGGTGTCAAGCAAAAAAACACTTAGTGATGTACACTGAGTGTCCACTGACCACTCCTGTTTTCCTCTCACTTGAACCAGGCCATAGCTTGATTGGTTTAACCATATGTTTTCCTTATGGCGGAGGAACGTAATATATACACACCAATGAAGTATTAATACTGCACACACAGTTGGCTAGGTTCAGGACTGGTGTTCACATGGAACAGCCAGAAGATGGTTTTACTGAAATGTGAGCTCTAGACACAGACAGGATGCAAAACAGTGTGATTTTGTAAGTAGTCAGACAAAAATGCTTTTGCAGAAACACCATGGTTCATTCATTGCTACAATTCCCAGCAACTGTAGGATAACTCTAGTATGAAACAGTCTGCACTATATCAGCTGTTTGTTGAAGAATTGTGAACACATCACATGTCATGTTAGACACAAATACCTGCTACAACTGCCTTGTCCGTGACAACATTGTCACGATGCAGTCATGTTTGGTTCTCTACTGGAATACATGATATGTGAAACTGACGTCTTTATAAGACAACATGTGGACACATTGTTTAAAGCTAATGAAAGTAGCGGGAGGTATTTGCCATCATTAACAAGTGTAGCAACTTGGAGAAACATTGACAAACCTGGACTTCTTCACAACATATGATTGAAAGATATGCATGGTGTATTACTTTCAAAGCGATCATATCAAGAAACAAGAATTAAAAATAATTATTTTGACATATCATTATACTTTTCAAGAATTTTGTTAAAAACATCATATCATGACAGTCGTTTTGTTACATGTACCATATCACGAAGGATGTTTAGTTTTGTTATGTTACCCATGTTTAGGGAATGATAAAATGTTTATGTTCCCCCCAAAAGAATTTTGTATAATGTAGCATAGGCGTCCATATTGCATTATGTATAACAGCTCTATGTATCCTCACTGCTTTTCCTTTTCAGCTGTACAAGTTACTCTCTCTGAAAGTTCCCCGTTTTGTTTCTTGATGAAAGACTACACATACAGACTGGCTGCGCGCTTCAAACATGGTTTCTACGAGTATCATGAAATATTTCACTGAATTGTTTTATGAATCATCCATATTCTTGCCCTTGCAATGACCGCTCTGAAAATAGAATTCCCGCATAGAGGCTAACATTTGATCAGTATAAATCTTCATTAGGGCCATACTGTGTTTATAACAGGCCCCTAATATGCATAAACAGCATAATCAAATATTTAAGTTCCTTTCAAAAAGTGGCAGCACCTTATTACATCATGGCTGAAAGAAATGTAACTCTAGCACAGGGAGGGTGTGTTGTGGAGACCCACTATTTCGGACAGCAGGGGTTATCGACCATTAACACAACATCTATCCCATAATGCTCAACCAGCTCCATGAGGAACGTGCGGTCACCGACAGGGTCAAGGCCCATGCTTTTCATGTGGTCAGAGGTCAACTGGCGATCTTGTGAACATGAGATGTCCAGAAGGGTTTGGAAGAGCCTGTCGTTGAGCTCTGTGAAGAAACTGTAAAAAAACAAAAGTTACTGTAAGTGCGAGGGAGCACACTCCACCACAAGCACCCAGGGATAGATTGGTAGCTGTCTGCAAGCCTGAGTCAGTGTGTCTGATGTTTAAGGTATCCTGAGGGCTAGTAGCAGGGCTTGTTGGAGTGTCCTTCTAAATAACCACTACATATTTCTATTGCTGCATAAGGCAGGGCTAGATTTAAGGAATTTGATTTACTTTTCACCATGTGCATGTTGACATGAAAACAAGGTTGCCCCACAAGAAACAGGGTTGCACCACAAGAAACAGGGTTGCACCACAAGAAACAAGGTTGCACCACAAGAAACAAGGTTGCACCACAAGAAACAGGGTTGCACCACAAGAAACAGGGTTGCACCACAAGAAACAAGGTTGCACCCTGGTCCCATAAATGTATCCCCCAAAATAAAATCTCAGATGTCTGACTGTGTCATCATTTATAGTACAGTTACTAGTTACAATACTCATGTGGCAATGTTATCAATGGCATAATGCATAATTATCATTAGTAGGATAATCTAAATATCATGACATGAAAGGCAACTTCAGTGATAGATGAGGCTACAGTACAGTACAGTACATGATCTTGAAGTACCCGCAGATTAATGACGTCAAGCTCAAGAAAAGCATGACAAATTGCACATACCACAGGAATTAGTGTTGTGGTATGGTAAATAAAGCTTAGATATAATGAGTGTTCAAAGATAGATTTTGTGGTTTAGTCAAGATACAAAATTGAAATTTGTTGATGAGCACTTGGTTGCATTTTTCAATAAAAGGTTGCACTTGTGTGTGTTATATATAGCTACGTCAAGCCCTGCAATGTTAATACATTTGCAATGTCTGGTTAAGAAATCTTGAATGAATTTATAAGATCTGCTTTAGGAATAAACTTCACCATTGAGTCTAAGACCAAATTCATTGAGCAATATTTTTATCATCATTTAGAGCATAAGTACAGTTAAACCCTGTTGTGTCCAACTCAGTCTGGTCCCAGCAAACTCTCAAATTAGCCTGGATGTACTGAATTCTGGTTGTTTTTAACTTAATTTATAGTCCCAAGAGTCCCAATATAAGTAAAATTTACCCTGATAAATCAACTCAATTTCAAAAACAAACTTAGCTCAAACATAATATCGTGAAACATGAAAGACAAGAAGCATAACATGCACGATGTTCTCGCTTTCTGTTGTGTGAAGGCTCTGTCACACAGTAAGAAGGTCAAGTCAGGTGTGTCAAACTTCGGATCAGACAATATTTCTCTGCTCCCCATCAGTTTGTGACAATGGAGTTCAACTGTATTCAATATGATGTGATAAATTACATTGTCAAAAGAATATCCTATGGTTAGTGTTATGTTCAGGGCTACAGACATGGAGAGTTTTTACAGTGTACACTTACTTTGAGAAGAACTCCTCTTCATCAATCACCTGCTCGCCTGCCTCTTGTAGGGAGAATATGTAGGAGGATCTGTAGCACAAGCAGAACTATAGACGGAGCCACAACATACACGATGTGTCTTACATCACACATCAGTAGGTACATGGAAGGACCAAACATCAAAATTTACTAGTTCCTTAAGGTTTGAATAGCTGCACACTGATGACTTACCACTTTTGTGAAACCGGGATTTGAACCCATGATCACAGGTTTCTGGCACAACCAAGGGATGCAACCCTTCTCTACAGAGTGGAATGTGTGTGTCAAGGGTATGTTCACATACAACTAAGAACTGACTTGTTTATCAATTACAGGGTTGATAATGAAGTATTGTAGTTCTGGCCAACCTGCACTTTACCCTCTCTAAGTGTGCCCACCTCTACAGCTGAACCGTGAAGATCCAGGGTAGAACAGGTCTTCAGCAACCCATTCTTGCCAAAAGAGGTGACTAACAGGATTGGGTGGTCAGACTCGCTGACTTGGTTGATGCATGTCATCGTATCCCAATCCTGAGTGCGGCGGTAAACAACAACAACAACAACAACCAAACAAACAAAAACCTCTACAGCTGGCTTCCACTGACGTGTAGCTTCTACCACATCAGAGGATGTTTCCACTTTTGTTGCAAGTAAAACAATTATTGATATTTCCATTCATCTTCCTGAGGCAAGAGAGTAAACTGAGTATTCAAGTCCAGTTTCCACCCTTGCCGAACTAGGCTGGTATTATGGAGTTACATTTTGGCTGGACTAACAAGTCTATGCATAGTCCAATCAAAATCACGCAACGAAATCAAAATCCGGTTTGTAAAGTGTCATGCAGATTTCGGTCGATTGCAGGATTTACAATGCATGTACACCGCTAACTCGTTGTCAACAGATATTTTCCAAATCTCTTCATGTTTTTAATCAAGATGCTCTTCACGATGTAAGACCTGTTTTATCACAATATAGGTGTTGATTATCGATCAGATTGTCTTGACAGGGCGTTTGAAACAAATGCAAGTGATACGAGAGGTGGAATCTGATTGGCCCATAGGAGAGGCTTAGAAGGATCATAACTGGTAATAACCACTGGTTGCGCTACGATCGAGCCCATGAATTTCAGCCTAGTTCGGCAAGGGCGGAAACTGGACTTTTAAAGTCAGTTAACTCACTTGCCTCGGGAAGATGAGGACATTGGGCCTCTCATGTAAAAAGGTTATCCTCTATCACTGTCTTTGACATTTCATTTGAGACTGAAGGTATGTAGGATCCAAACACATATTACATTTGAAAATACACATGAACATTTCTGTCACAATGCCTGAGGTAACAAAATATCAACTACATTTTTACATTTGTCATCATTAACAAACTTGTATCTGTTTCAACAATGCTTACCTTTGATTGTTGAGTTTGGCATATTTTTCTCTGTCAGCATCGCTGATCTTAAGTAGGTCTTTAAGTGCCGGTGTGTGTGCCCTGACCAGCTGGTTGTCTATGTACACATCATATAGATGGGTCTTGCTCTCAAATATCTTCTCTGTAGTGCCTGCACAATTGTGAAAGACAGGAGGCTATTAACTCAAATATACTGTTTCACAATGCATAGTTACCTTCAACAGACAGGGGCGGGTTTGCTTTATCTTACTTTATCTTACAATAAAACAGTTCACAGAGAATAAACCATCCGGAGCACAGTTGTATCATACAATAAAACACTGCCCATCATGGCTTATTCTCCTTGCACTGTCTTATTGAATAATAAACAATGACCAAACTTTGTTATTTCTTACATGAGATATCAATATTATTTACAGCCACTTTGTAAAATTAACAAGCTTTAAAAGTATTTAAATAACTCCTTGAATACAATCTGATCTCGGCAATGTCAGACAAGTCCATTTTATGAAAAGGTGGGTTTCATTTAACAGTAAAAAGAGGAAAGGTGCTAAGTGGATAATTGCCGGCCATTATTTGTACCTTTTCTCTCATCATAGCTTGCTTACTGTTGGATGCTATCATTCAGCCAATGTGTTTATCTAAGGTTAACAACTCACTGCCCTCTCAAAAATAGCATTGTTCAACTGATGAAGTCATCAAGTTGTGAGCATATGTTAAAATCTCCAGAAATTAGGTCATTTTAGAAGATAACTTTATCGTGAAACATAAGATAGCTACCCAATAAACTGCAATGAACAGTGAAGAACATCGATGTAGCTGGGCAACACAGATAAACCTGATGGCCAAACGATCGCATCCAAAAGTGAAAAGGGTAAAGGTAATCTATGGGAGATTGCAAGAATATGCGGGAAATACACGCCTCATAAAATGGACTTGTCCAACATTGCTGAGGCCAGATTCTATTGAGGGAGTCATCATTATTTAAATACAAGTAAATAGTTTCAAAGCTTTAACATTTCATCACCATTCTCAAAGAGGATGTACATGATGTTGGTATCTCATATAAGAAATAAACGACTCGTGGTCGTTGTTTATCTTACAACAAAACACTACCGGGTGAATAAAACACTTAGGGCTGTGCCCCTCATGGTTTATTCCCCCTGCAGTGTTTTATTGTACGATAAAAAACGACCACGAGTCGTTTATTTCTTAAATAAAGCAACTTGTTCTTCATGGTTCTTTGTGATTTATCATGTTGGTATCTTATATAGTACAATTTACACACTCAATACATGCTCTAAACACATTAAACCATCACACACTAATGCTAAATACTCAAGTCACATGCTACAGTGAGTGAGTGAGTGAGTGAGTATGGTTTTACGCCGCTTTTACCGATATTCCAGCAATATCACGGCGGGGGACACCATAAATGGGCTTCACACATTGTACCCATGTCTGGAATCGAACCCGGGTCTTCGGCGTGACGAGCCAACGCTTTAACCACTAGGCTACCCGACCGCCCACATGCTACAGTGCATACTAGCAGAGTGTTTCTCTGCTTGTCTGGACAATACACTGTGTCACTGTGTGACTTATACTCGGGGAACAGTGGTACACATACTTACATGCTATATATGTAATTTCGTTCTCCAAAGCCTCGATGTCAGCTACATTGACATAGAAGTGGGGCCGGATGTCATGCCGCGTAAGGCCTTGTATATTGTGGTTACCAAGGCAACAAGCACAGTACACTGAAACAGTTCATTTGATATCTAAGACATAACCCAAGTCAACATTATACAAGTAATTACTTTTGACAAGATCAGTTATGCCAAAACCAGGACCTGAGGAACTGGCCGCCGAGGAGGTCTGACTGGACAGAGGCCACAGACTGCTGAATGGGTCGGTCCTCGGGTCCTTGTTTTTGCATAATTTACTTCATCAAGAGTAATCATTTGTTTTATTATACTGAAATTCACTTTAAAGTTTAGGAATCCTTTAAACCATCTTCTGGTTCATTACAGTAACTTCGCTGCGAACAATGAAATTCTAGTAACAGACGCCATCTTGTTTTCTAGCAGACAAGTCAATACTCATCGCGTGACAGGTCAATACTGATCATGAGACGAGTCAATATTCGAGGTCAGTGTCAGTCACATGGTTTGGGGGTCAACATTTAAATCTATTGTTTTGGTACGGATTAACCAATAGAATTGCAAAATTCTTAATAGAGGTATAACAGTATAAAATGTATTTCTTCACCTGTTCAGTGTTATATTTCATAAGACAGAACATAACAACCTGTCACAGGACATGACATCATAACTACATATCTTGTGTGTGTGTGTGTGTGTGTCATAATGAGTTATGATTAATTCAGTGACCTGTGTTAGAGTAGGTACCCAGCACTCTTATTGTCATAAGGGACATTGTGACTGTACTTCGTGGTCAGGTATGGTAATTTGGTAGGTTATCATACCGCGACGGGTGGCACACTGATCATGTCAACTACTGATTTGTCTTGGAATTACTTACAGGAATAATTCTGACTCTGGCTTTAAACAACAAACGAACATAGTAAATTAATTTCTTTGAAAGCATGAAACAGTTGAGGATGCACATAATCTTTCTTTCTTTGTTTGTTTGTTGTTCGTTCATTCATTCATTCTTCAATATTGCACGTGCCCTGTGGTTCCAACATAGGAACCCAGGAGCTAATGCTGCCCACAATAGTGTTGGTTTGTTTGTTGTTTTAACGCCGCACTCAGCAATATTCCAGCTATATGATGGCGGTCTGTAAATAATCAAGTCTGGACATGACAATCCAGTGATTGATATCATGAGCATCGATCCACGCAATTGGGATCGATGACATGCATCAACAAAGTCAGCGAGCCTGACCACCCGATCCCGTTAGTTGCCGCTTACAACAAGCATAGTCACCTTTTACGGCAAGCAGTGGTTGCTGAAGACCTATTCCACCCCGGATCTTCACGGGCCCCACAATAGTGTACTACAATGGCAATGCGTACATAAAGTGGTGATGCTCAGTGCTCAGGGTCTAGTCCTCTGTTTTGTTTGGTCTTGATTCAGTTATTTACAAGCTCTCACCTCTGTAACACACGACCCCGATGGGAGGAGGAGAGAAGAAGAGGATGCGCTTTTGGAGTAGGGCGAACTTCCACAGCGTGTATATTTGTTCCCCGAAGAACTTGATGAACTGGGAGAAACAGCCAGCTGGGTGGGTGATCTGGAAGGGAGGAGACAGAGACTGAGACTATTTCTCAAGTCACTGAGAATCACTGAAAGGAATAATGTTTCCCTTACCTTTTAGCTGAGAATTAAAATTGGTTCAAGGGGGGCAACTCATTTCAAAATACAAATTTCAATTCTCAGACTCCAGAAAATGTATATGGTGCAAGGTGGCCATTAGGAACACAATGCTGAGAGAGACTGCCAGATACAGATGGTAAGATGTGCAAAGTTGTGTCCCGAAGGTGACAGAAACCTATTATCAAAACTTCCAATGATTATTATGATTATGATTCTCCTGTAGTTATTAGTCATAAATGTCGAAGACCTTTATCACGACCTCCAATATTAGCTCATACACTCTGATATAACCAAAATGCAGCTCAAAATGACTTAAAACCCAAATGACTCACTCATGTGTGGAGTGCTAAATTCTGCTACTGTAACAGAATCTACAATGGAACCAGTAGTGGTTACAATCCTGGACAGACTGGGCACTGGATCACCAGTATTGTTTGTTTATTTGCACTCAGCAATATTCCTGCTATATGATGGCGGTCTGTAAATAATCGAGTATGGACCAGATAATCCAGTGATTGACATCATGAACATTGATCTACGCAATTGGGATTCGATGACATGCATCAACCATGTCAGCGAGTCTGACCACCTGATGCTGTTAGTCACCTCTTATGACAAGCATAGTCGCCTCTTACAACAAGCATGGGTTGCTGAAGACCTGTACCCGGATCTTCATGGGTCGGATCACCAGTAGCTGACACTTGTCTTCAGCTTGGGGTGGTCACAATGTGGGATCCCGCTGAAGGCCTGGGACAAGTTTAACAAAAGAAAGATCACAACAATAAGAATGTTGTGAGTCTTTGTAAAACCATGGGAATTATGACTGCCGTAGTGCAAGGATCACAATGTGAAACATAAGCTATCAATCACTGGTTGATCTTGTGAGGATATCATTATTCCAAGGCTCATCATAGAGATGCAATACCCCCTGCCTCACGCAGCCTCACCTTCATCTCTGGCAGCAGCTCTTTGCTGGGTGTGGAAGGTGTGGACGCAGGGCTGGGAATCTTCAGCGCCTCCGCTGACCCACTTATCGGTAACACCCCCTTCTTGTCATCAAAGAATGCTATCAACTGTGTGTACACCCCGGGCACCTCCAGCTGATGTCTGAAAACATGCAGACCTCTTACTGTCTGATCTCAACAAAATATATATGTTTCAGTCATGATTGGAAAACATCAAAAATGTAACGGATAAAAAAATTATAGATGCAACACAATTGTCCATGGCAACAAATCAATAATAAATATCAATTTAGTTAAGATCGATGCCATATTACACTATCAATAGACTAATATTTCTAATACAATGAAACTACACACTGTCAATCATTAATTAAACTAGTACCTATTCAGTTTGATAAAGTACACCTTGCTTGAAGCCAAAGATGGGTATCTATTCCAAAATGTTAAAAAACTGGCATCATACAAGTATTGGAGGTACCTCACAAGAAATCTTTGCAACATGAGTAAACATGCCTTCGGTAATTACCACTTGTCATGATACCAATGCAAACCAAGAAAAACTCAAGAAACCATAAAGAGCAAAAACTAGTTTGCCTTCAATTGAGAATTAGAAGTCCACAACTCACAATTTCATTTGAGATCATATGCATCATTTTCCATGCCTCAGTTGTAGAAGAATGACACAATATTTTCACATTCACTGTTTATCTGTTATTATTTACCTGACTTGGGTCTCCAGGAACTGCATGTGTTTGTAGAGGGAGGTGTAGGATGTAGACAGGATCCCCACTGACTTCATCCGTGCTCCTCGCTCGATCTCACTCTCCACCTTCATGTTCTCAAAACAAGCCAGGCCATACAGGTTCTCCTTCCGGAAGTAACTGTACAACAAAACACTGACTGCAGTTCTGGTGCCCATGTGATGCATGTGAAACTGAGTAACACTGGCAAGCAAACTGGAGAAAAATGCATGATTTCGTGCCAAATTGACATACAGTCTAACCCTGTGTGTGTCTTGAACTGCTGGGAACCATAGAAATAGTTATACTTATCTGGGATTTGACACATCCGGTCTTCCCTTCTGACCCAGCCATCAGACATCAAGCAAACATTCTACATTTACATTTACATCATATATATGGAAAGAATGACAAACAGAAGCAGTTGTCATATCTACATTTATGAATCTGTATGCATTTTATTCATATCACAGGATTATCATGATATCATATGACAATAACAATAGTAAATAAATACACACATTTATCAACGACTTATCAGGGTAAGTTTTAATTGGTATTAACACTTGGGGCTATAAATTGAATTTGTCACAACCAGGTTCTTGACACATCCAAGTTTGAGACAACAGGGTTCGCCAGCGTTTGAAATGTTATTTTCTAAAATTATGAGGTTAACATTGCATTCAATACATGTAGTTGGACTACAGTTTATAACTCATGTTATCTGTGCGGTTAAAACATTTGGAAAACATGAGAGTAGCTATATATCTAAGTCCAATCTACTTTCTTACCATCTTATTATTTGATATCTAGATAAAGGTGAAAGATCAGATTTAATTTGTTTGATATGGGAAAACACATCCCAAATGATAAGCTTCATGACACTGAGTATGAAATAGGACAATGTTAAGTTAGCTACTGACATTGAAACAGACAGGATCAATATGTGTACCTTCATGAAGGTGAAACATGCCTTCTGTTGTCTTTGAGAAGCAGGACATGGTTCATACAGATATGGAACATTAAAATTCAAGGCCTTTTCAAAGGCCTTTCAAGTGTCTTTTTCAAGGCTTGTTAGTTGGTTGATTAGCCTCAGTCCAATCTCATTAAAATCATATCTTAGTTCTTGCTATCGCAAAACAAAGATCTGAGGACATCTCATTACAGCTCATGTCAGAACGACCTTTCATCCGACCAAACAAAGCATCGCTTAGCAGATCATGAAAGTGGCAGTCGGAATGTGTATTCTAATCATGCAACCTCAAAAACGTTAACACAGGGTATTCCGAACAACTGATTCAAAATTATCGTCTGTCACTCGCTTAACCATATATTAGATATTCCAGAATGTTCCTTTGTTCAGTTTTCAAAATTTTAATTGAGTACTGTGTCAACATATTTTTCAAGCTTAGTCTGAACAGGAATTATTAGTTTTGTGTGTGTTTTAAGTCTTTTATTAACAAGTTTATGTCATTTTGTTCAAATTTAAGGCTGTTCAAGCTATATTGGTGATTTTCAAGGACATTAAAAATCAAGGCTTTTCAAGAAGGACCTTATATTCCAGCAATATCACGGCGTGGGACACCAGAAATGGGCTTCATACATTGTACCCATGTCGGGAATCGAACCCGGGTCTTCTGCGTGACGAGCGAACGCTTTAACCACTAGGCTCCCCGACCGCCCCTGGGAGAGACTGTAGGAACTTTGCAGGATACTGATGCAAGGGGATGGGACATATTTCTGTACATTACCATCAGGGGTATGTGTCCTTCAATGATATTGGGTGTGTGTAGTGTTGCAAAAATACTTGTTGTAGTTGTGAAAATAGTCTTAAATGGTTTATGGCATAACTTATTAACTTGATTAAGGATACGATATTCAGTTGTAGTTTTCATCTCTTAATAATTTGAGAAAGAAGGTAAGCATGACAAAAGCTTACAGTTTGCAGACTTGGTATGTCATGTCTTTAATACACAAGAAATGAATAAAAAAACATGGTACTATGCCTGAGAAAAACCTTGTACATTAGTTACTTACACAAAATCCTTGTCCAGAGTATGGGAACCACTAGCCATGGCCTTGAACTCTACACCATCAAGGTCAGTTTCTTCTGGTAAACACCATTCCACAAGGTTACCTGAGGACAGAGCCAGTCATGTTACAAACAAGCTAATACACCTTCCTGCCACGCCAGTTAACAATGGTTCATTACAGCTAAATTATCTACAAACCATAAAAATAGCTGCTTAGCCTTTCTAACACATAAAATCAACTTTTGAAAATTGTTCAATTGTCTATATTAATCATGAGGAATACACCTTATATTTTATGAGTATGAAAATATTATCTATCAATATCATATTAGTGGTGGGTGGGTGAGTTGGGTTTAATGCCGCTTTTAACAATATCCCAGTTATACCGCGGCATGGCCACCTACGGAGGTGTGTCCGATCCTCTCATAGTAAAAGATCTCATATCAGGAATTTTCTAATATTTGTTTTTGAAATGTCCTTTTGAAATATACAAAGCTTTCTTGGCAGACATGTATGAGGGTTGGTCAAAAAGTTCTAAGCCTGACTTTCAACTATGGGCCATAACAAAGTGAATTAGTCAATGTAGTACAATGTTTGAGCAGTTCATTGCAAGTGTATTTGGTCTGTTGAGACTGTTTGTATATTGGTGACAGCCAGTTGAACGTGATAGGGGCCTAAATAGACACACAAATGGAAAAGAACGAACACTGAGCAGTCATCAAGTTTTTGTACTTTATAGAAAAGTACTCCCCAAGAAATTCATGACCCCATGTCACAAGCGCATGGGGATAAGTGCCCTAGCTATTCCACTGTTCCAGCTATGTTTAAGGCTGGGAGGACAAGCCTTGATGATGACCCAAGGCCTGAAGTCCCTCAACTTCAATTAATGAAAATTCAATCAAGGAGATAAATTTATACCATCAGATAGAGATATTACCATTGCTGAACTTGGATCCACTGAAACTATTATTCATGAACATTTACAGATGAATAAGATATCTGCTCGTTGGGTACCACAGTTACTAAACTGAAATTGCTAGAGAATGTGGGTTCGAAAAGCTCCATGCCCGCCAGACCTGGCACCAAGTGATTTCCACCTGTTTCCTAAACTAACAGAACACCTTCATGGAAAGCGTTATGACAACAACGATGACCTCAAAGATGCCGTTAATGGGGTTTTCAGGGGGGCTTCAGAAAGCTTTTTTCTGACTGGAATTGGATGACTAGCTTCACTATCAATATGAGAAGAGTATTGAAAAGCAGGGAGATTATGTTGAAAAATAAAATTAAAAACTTTCACTAATGTCTATTTTGTTTGTTAGGCTTAGAACTTCACGACCACCCCTCGTATTCTACTACAAGTCAAACTCCATATACATGTACATATTTGAACCTGACCAAATCTGACGTACTGGAACTAAAACTTGCAATGTTACTGAAAGATGTTGAATGTATGGTGATACTAGTGATTGATTAAATACGGCGAAAACATTTTCTCAGCTATCATATCCACCCTCTTGTTTTCACTCTTAACATGATTCAACCAATATCAAATATTCTGAAAGATAAAAATATACATATTGTCAAGTCATCATGATGTATCAGCAAGCTGTTACAGTTCGATGAAACTTGTATGTTTATCAATATTTATATCAGTTCTAAATATTGAACTATAAACAACTGAACACCCACCTGTTACCCTCGGAACTCAGCAGATTTGTATCTCTAACACTTTAACCAAACATAATCAATTATCAAGCACTTCTACATGTTGCAGAGAAGCAAATTATGCTCTTTGTATACAAAAAGGTTGATTTCTACAAATATTTGACATTTGACTATTTTCACCGCTATTTTGCATTTTACCATGTTTACACCAAAGGCAATTGAATCTGTTTCGGCAGATAACTGAAACTTGCTATTCTCTGATGTTGCCATGTTATATTTTAATTAAATTATGTAAACTTTATCATAAGCTTGTCTTGCCCAAGAAGTGAACTATTCAGATTATACACTTTAATTGATAGACACAGAGGACTTGCAGAAGTGCTGTTTGATTCTTCATCTTCTAGGAATTAACTAAATGATTGTATGATTGTCCAAATGGTTACAATGATCATTACGGATAAAGAATGAGGGGTAGTTGGCCTGTTTTGTAGAAAGAGAGTAATGTAATAAGTTTTTGAAAGGCATTTAAAAGTGATACATATAAGGAAGAGAATCTATGGATGTCAACTTTTTTATTATGAAGAACACAACATTTCGGAGTATATGATGAAGGAGTAAGCATATACTCCAAAACGTTGTGTTCCTCATAATAAAGAAGTTGACATCCATAAATTCTCTTCCTATGTAATAAGCTGCTCAGAAAAAAACATAGGCAATCTACAAAATTCTAATCTAATCTGCTTGTTGTAATCTCCAGTTCAGCATGTACTGGGAACACAGGTTCAAAGTCAAGCATACCAGTGAACAGTCATGCAGTTTTCGTTCCACAATATTTGGAAATGTCACCGTCTTTTCTCTTACATACACCGTCTCCTTCAAGTAGTTAAAGTATAGGAACGCTGAACTTGGTATAAGGGACATATCAGATAATGCCACATACATGACAGAAGGCCAGTATGTTAACTCAGGAAGGAATCTGCCAAAAGCACTCATCAGTACCATAACTTTTGGCTTGACTCTAATTGCTGAAGAATAATGTCCATTCCACTTTTATATTGGATTCCAAAGCTCTATAAATATCTGTTCAATGAGAGATTGCTGGGTCCAGTAAATGAACTACCAAATTCCTGCCTCAGAGATTAACCATAATCCTCAATTCAAGGAAGGACTTACTTAATATTCACAGAAAATATTTGAGACAATTGGAAATCATACCAGTTGTGGATTGTCAGAAAACCCAACAGATTTGTTCAAGTTTTTAATCTCATAAAAGAATCAAGTTCAAATTTGTCAAACATTTGATTTTTCAACCTTGTACACCACAATCTCACACAACAAACTTAAGGAAAAACTTTATTCCTTGATCTATGGGGTATATATCATATGTTAAGACTTTATAACTCACAGGAATCAGCTACTCATTTTACATCTCAAGCTTTTCCTCACAGCAACACCTTAAACCATATGTTAAGACTTTATAACTCACAGGAATCAGCTACTCATTTTACATCTCAAGCTTTTCCTCACAGCAACACCTTAAACCATATGTTAAGACTTTATAACTCACAGGAATCAGCTACTCATTTTACATCTCAAGCTTTTCCTCACAGCAACACCTTAAACCATATGTTAAGACTTTATAACTCACAGGAATCAGCTACTCATTTTACATCTCAAGCTTTTCCTCACAGCAACACCTTAAACCATATGTTAAGACTTTTTAACTCACAGGAATCAGCTACTCATTTTACATCTCAACTTTGCTGTTATGTTAACCATAAAATATGGTATATGTAGGTCATTTTTTAACATTTTGTTAAAATTTTGGCTGATTGGATGTAGCTTGCAATCATAGTGTCTATCCATTAATTGGGTTTGCATATTAAAACTTTAAAAGTTTTTTAGAAACATCTTAACATGCTAAATGGTTACTTTGTGTAACTTTAGACAGGTGTATAACAAAATACCAACTTTCTCGCATAAATTACACTTATATTTACATTGTAAATAAGCAGCAAACTTTGACACATTCCTGAGTTAGTTGTAGGACACTTTATTACATCTGATAACAGTGGCCTTCTTTAAACCACTGTTGCTATGGTAACATGTTCTTCATCATCACAATGAAACAAATTGTATGCCAGCAACTGCAGCAGAAATGATTGTTGATTACATGAACCCTCAGCTATTAAACACCTATAATTCCCTGCAGGATGGCAACAGACACATGTAGGCTGCAATCTGACATCAATCAATAGTCTCTCTGTAAGCAGCAACACACCACACACACAGAACAACACTCTCGTATTGATCTGCCAATAGACATGCTGTTTGACGGTGTTCCCTGCTGCCAGTCTCAATAAGTATGTCCATGTGATTTATGTACAGTAACTGGTATCAATTGTCATGACTAGACTTGTTAAATACACAATTCTACACAACAGCTGACAAGCATAGAAGATGGGTTAGAAGTGAGTCATGAACATCAGCCATGTTGATATTACAGTTTAATTTTACATACCACAGTAAATATGCTATGGTGCAATGAATAATTAAAGTTATTGGCAAATTACTTGCATGAAAACAAAACATAATATTTTTTACATTTGTCATCATATTTTTCTGACCCTCTGTGAATGTTCATTCTTTTAGGCTCTCCCATAAGGCAAACAAAAATGTCCAGGTAGCTTGTCACATAATTGACACACTACCCCAATCATACACTTTTCTTCCACTACATTTGTTCACGATTCTCACAATGATTGTTTCAGAATCATCTCACTGCACTTGTCTGTGATTTTGCTGCCTTGATTTTTTTCCAATAAATCCATATAAGTGTGGACTGTGTTGACATGGTGTGAGGGTGAGTATGGTTTTACACTGCTTTCAGCAATACATGTATTCCAGCAATACCACGGCGTGTGGCACCAGAAGTGGGCTTCACACACTGTCATGTGGTGAATAACGAGAATAGCATCCTCTCCCAAACCATTGAACTAGTTAAGAAACCTCTCCCGTCTTCATCTCACATTATGACAAAATAGACAACATAAGATAGGGAGCATTACTTACATAAAGACAAGTTAAGATTGGAACACAAACTTACATAAAGACAAGTTAAGATTGGAACACAAACTTTCATAAAGACAAGTTAAGATTGGAACACAAACTTACATGAAGACAAGTTAAGATTGGAACACAAACTTACATAAAGACAAGTTAAGATTGGAACACAAACTTACATGAAGACAAGTTAAGATTGGAACACAAACTTACATAAAGACAAGTTAAGATTGGAACACAAACTTACATAAAGTCGAGTTAAGATAGGAAATTAAACAAGTATGGAATTTGACTTATTATCATATATCATTCTCAATCAATACTGGTATGTTGTTTGTTGTTTAACGCCAGAATCAACAATATTCCAGATATA